AAAAAAAAAAAAAAGAGCTATGTCTCAGAGAATCACAAATTGTAAACTGGTATATTTCCACTTAAGTTGAACCCACTGCTATTAGCTATAGCAAATGCATTATTGCTATAACTACTCTGGTAGTTTCTGGATGTCACTATGTCACTTTCTTTAATTCTTCCAAATTTACTATGTCTAAACTTTTTAACAATGGAGTAGTTGGGTTTGAAAACTGAAGGGAAACTTTACTCAGTACTTGGTTATATCGCATGACAAAGAACAAGAGTAAAGGCAATAGAATATAGCAAATGAGGCCAGAAAGGTTAAGCAACCTGTTGGAAATTTAACAGTTGGTCCACCCTATGGTAGAGACTATTATTATCTTAGCCACTACATTAAACTGCCCCCTTAGAGAAGAAACCTAATCCCACAACACAGGCTCAAAATAAAAGTTCAAACTGATTTCCCTAGGAAGGAAGTTTTGATTCATTTCTCAGCCAAGGTATAACAGAAAAACAACATACTTACTATACTACTGAATACTAATATTCCAACATAAAGACAACACAATATTTTTTGCCTTAAGCTCTATTCTTGTATTCAGAACATGATGATGCTCATTGTATTAATAACCTTATAGCTTAAAATATTTTATTTTGCACATCACTGAGCAATATTCAATAAGAAATTTTTTTTACAACTTCTGAATCACAGTTCAGTAGGGTTAAGCAAAGCTAACAACTCCTAAATATGAAATGACAAAACTTTCCAACCAACCAGTCTCCTTTCCCATCCTACCCTAACTACAGATCCATAGTGTAGTTCCAAGCTATGCATATAATTCTGAGCTATCACTTAGGGTACAATACAAAATTATACAACTATAAAATAATGGCAGTGGACTTACGTAATTGCAACATTGCTCCCATCTATAACGATATGCTTCAAATCCATTCTTCCTGGTTCGTTTTTTAATTCCAACTTGTAGGGCACTTTTAGGGTATCTCGAAATCTTTGAACCCCTGTAACTGAGGAATCGATATAATCAGAAGGTCCTGCAAACCTTGCATCAGAAACCGAAGGTAACATCTGGGACAGTGGCATTGATGGAGAAATGGACAGGCAATTTGGCTTAGACTGAGGAGAGGTACAACATCCTGAATGTTTCTCACAGGGAGACTTCATATTATTTGGAAGCAAGGGTTCTGAATGCTGTTGTAAACCATTTTCAGGAAAAACTGGACTTCTTTGCTGGTGACTTGAGACTCCTCTGGAGACAAGATTAATTTCTTTGGGGCTTGAAGGGGCAACAGAGGGTGAAAGGCCATCAGTTTCAAGGTCTATGTTACAACTATAATTCTGGTTTGGACCCCAGATTTCATGTTTCTGTTCTCTTGGCACAGTCCTGAAAGTACTAATTTTGCAATTTGAGGTACATGGTTTAGATGGTAACACAGTAAAATTTTCTACCATATTTTGCTGTATGTGATTCTGTGTTTTCTTCTGAATGGAATCTGTTGTAAACTCATTTATGCTGCTAATACTTTTATTTTTGTTGGTATCTGGATATGCAGTACCAGGTGAAAGTTCACTGTCTTCTTGAAACTTTTTATTTTCCTTTTCAATTTCCTCTAAGAGTAATAATGGTTCAGTAGAAGGCCCATACTCCTTAATGACCTTTTCAACAATTTCTTGTGAATAGCCCATAGTTTTAAAAAAGTTCACAAGGATGTTGTATTCCATTTCCTCAGTAGTGTCTTTTATATCTGGACTTAAATTTACCTCAGTAGAAGAATCAGATAAATCAATAATTACATTTCCAGCCGATGCCTTATCACCATGTAAGAGCTCTTCTTCTTGAACATTTTCTAAAGAAAATTGCTTCTTGGTATGCCTTTCCTCCGAATCAGAATATCTCCTTTTGTAACAAGCTCTCTCTTTGGAAAGTGCCTCTTCATCTGGACTAGCCCCATTTACTGGAACTTTAAGCATATCTGGTGAACTAGAAAAGACTGTGTCCATTTGTTTTGTAAGCTCAGAAATAGGAGTCCCAGCTTTATCTCTTGCATCTTCCTGCATAACAATTTCATCTCTAGTAATATTCATCTCTGTGTCAGTATTCTGTGTAAACCCTGGTTGTTGGTCATCTCTAACTTCAATAACATCATCATCTGTTTGAAATAGATTCTCTTCACCTTGTGTGAGTGTTAAAAGTTCTTTCTTCAAGGAAGTGGGCAAAATTAACAAATCCATTGTATAATTGTCTGCGTGGGCTTCAACAAATTGTCTGAATTCCCTTTTTATCTCTGATTCTTTCTGACTGCTGGGTATATTCTCATTATTCTCAAAGAGCTTTACAAATTGCTGAATATGGCTCCTGGCCATGACCACAGCTTCGGCACTTCCTCTGATGCCAAGAAGACCAATGTCTAAGACACAGAGGTCAGCACAAGTATCCTGAATCAAGCTCTTCAGAAACAGGTTCTCTGCCCCAACAAAAATGCAATGCATGGCTATAGGATAACATTCTCTTTCTTCTAGCTCAGGTTCACAGATTCCTTTTACATACTCCTGTGAAGAGAAAAAAATTAGATCAAGTCACAAAAGCAGCTTACAGAAAATTATATTAAGTTCTACAGGTATTTAAACAACAGTCAAGCTAATTTGTTTTTAATGTAAGCATATTTATTTTAGTGTAAAATGCCACAATTTTAATGGAAGACTGACAATGCCAAACGGTTTAATCATCTAGAGGAATTGAAAGCTTTGCATCTCCTATCTAATAGGCAGATATAGCTAATTAATTGTCCATCTTGGTGTGTCAACTAAGGGGTCTGTCTGCCTAGCTTGTATAAGAATCCCAATGCTCTATTTATTTACATCTAAAGACAAATATATGCTTGCTGATAGTTATTACTGCCAATACATAATCCAGAAATAAAAGATAATCAAACCAAATGATTTATTACATACAAACCTTGACTTTTACTTTGTCACCATTGCCCATGGTTTCCACATGTAACAAAACAGATTCCTTGAAAGCTTTTAGAAAATAACTAGATGGTCCAGGCGCCGGTGGCTCACGCCTATAATCCTAGCTACTCAGGAGGCTGAGAGCTGAGGATCTCGGTTCAAAGCCAGCCCAGGCAGGAAAGTCCCTGAGACTCTTATCTCCAGTAAACCACTCGAAAACCAGAAGTGGCGCTGTAGCTCAAGCAGTAAAGAGCTCGCCTTGAGCTGAAGAGCTAAGGGACAGCACCCAAGCTCAGAGTTCAAGCCCCACCACCGACCAAAAAAGAAAAAAAATAAAGAAAACAACTAGATGGTTGGAACAATCTATATCCTATATAACTCTGTGTCTTTTTCTAAGACCAGATTGTTTAAATTAAGCATAGACCTAAGTACATAAAGAAATGAAGAATGCTAAAAATAGGCATTTGTGCACACATGGTAGAACACATATTACTTTGGTTCTAGAGTTGGTAATACCTCTGGTGTGATCTTACTCAATTTATTCTAAGCCCAGTTTCTTCAATGGTAGAAGTTAGTAATACAATCTTGGAAGTTAGAGGAATTCATAGAAACAATAGAAATGACTACTGAATAGTGCCCTGTACATAGTAAATAATTACAAATTGCAACAATGTTAGTTAAATTATAAGTGAAAACTTTCTGGCTACACATTTTGGAAAATGAGCCTGGCTGATACTTTATCTACACTTTCAACTAAAATTAAAGTGGTATTACCAAAATAGTGCTACTAAAAAATTCAAATTGTGTAGGGGCTGGGAAGGTGGCTCAGTGGTAGAGTGCTTGCCTCGCATCCATAAGGCCCTGGGTTCAATTCCTCAGCACCACGTTAGCAGAAAACGCCTGAAGTGGTGCTGTGGCTCAAGTGGTAGAGCTCTATCCTTAAGCTGAACTGCTGAGGGACAGTGCCCAGGCCCAGAGTTCAGGACCCATGACCGGCAAAAAAAAAAAAAAAAAGGATGGTTAAATATTTCTTATCTTCTTAAAGAAATACTTGCTGTATTATAAAGAATTTAGAGCTTTGAATACACAGTATCTGACAAAATGACCTATCATAAGAAATAAAATTGCAAAACTCATTGTACCAAAAGAAAGTAAGTAATTGTGACTCATGGATTTTACTAACATCTTATGTGTGGTAATGTTTCTTGTTTGCCATCAGTGTTCTGAAGAGAAACAGATTGGAACAGGAGACTGTAAACATTCATGTACTTAATGCACATAAACATGTATAGCAACATAAACTTTTCATTAAGTAGTTCTTTATTTGCATCCACACACAAATACACACATATACACAAACATGAATAAAATTTAAGTGATTAGAAAGGCTGAGAAGTCCTACAATCAGCAGTTTTTGTCATTTTTGTTGTAGTTGTTTTATCAGTCTTGGGGCATGAATTCAGAGCCTGGGTGTAGTCCCTCAGCTCTTTTTGCTCAAGGCTAGTGAGTCTGTGTGACTCTTATCTTCAATTAACTACCAGAAAACAGGAAGTGGCACTGTGGCTCAGGTGGTAGAGTGCTAGCCTTGAGCTGAAGAGCTCAGGACAGCGCCCAAGCTCACAGTTCAAGCCCCATGACAAAAACAAAATCTCACAGGGACCTTTCTGCTGGGGCTGAACCACGATCCTTAGATCTCAACCTCCTGAGTAGCTAGGATTACAGGCATGAGCTAGGAAAACCAGTTCAAACTTCAATTTAATCTATAGTCTGGTTAACTAAGGGAGATACTGAATTAGATCTCAGATTTCAAACTAGAGAAGACCTATATCACAACTTAATGAGACAAGAAAAACATGTTCACCCCTCCTCTGCCTTTGTTCTGTATATGCTTTTGTGGATTCTGTTTAAAGAGGGCAATCTGCATTATTAAGCTGACTAGTTTAAATGCACTTTCTGTCAAACAACATTTGAAGAAATGCTCCTAGAAATAACGTATAACCAGCCGGGCGCTGGTGGCTCACGCCTGTAATCCTAGCTACTCAGGAGGCTGAGATCTGAGGATCGTGGTTCAAAGCCAGCCAGGGAAGGAGAGACCATGAGACTCCTATCTCCAATAAACCAACAGAAAACCGGAAGTGGCGCTGTAGCTCAAGTGGTAGAGTGCTCGCCTTGAGCTGAGGGACAGCGCCCAGGCCCAGAGTTCAAGCCCCACGACCGACAAAAAAAAAAGAAATAATGTATAGCCAAATATATTGGCAACCCATGACAACATGTACAGGATATCCTAGATGGTACCTCCTATATCAATCAAAATCTAAGTCAAGTGAAAAGTTGAAAAATCAAATATAATTGAAGAAATACTTTTCTTCCTTTTCTCTTCCCCCTCCCCCTTCCCTTCTTCCTTGTTTCCCTCTCCCTCTCCTCCTCCCCCTCCTCCTCCGGTCTAGGCACCGTCCCTGAGCTTCTTTTAGTCAAGGCTAGCTCTCTACCACTTGGGACACAGTGTCACTTCCAACTTTTTCTGTGTATGTGGTACTGAGGAATTGAACCCAGGGCTTCATGCATAGGCAAGTATTCTACCACTAAGACATATTCCCGGCCCTTTTCTTTGTTTTATGGCACAATGTAAAAGAAAAATTAAGACAGACTAATTTTCTGTTGAGAAAATTTGTGGTGATTTGTGATGGTACATTATCTATGCTCATAAAATGTAATTGTCACTTTTATAAAGCTAGTTTTCTTGGGCTGGTAATGTGGCTTAGAGGTAGAGTGCTTACCTAGCATGCATGAAGCCCTGGGTTCGATTCCTCAATACCACATAAACAAAAGCCAGAAGTGGTGTGTGGCTCAAGTGGTAGAGTGCTAAGAAGCTTTGAGCACAAAAAGACTCAGGGACAGTACCTAGGCCCTGAGTTCAAGCCCCCATAACGAGGCGGGGGGGAGCTAGTTTTCTTTTCTGATTGTAAATAATGAAACTATAAGAATATTCACAGTATCAAAAAAAAGATATCTAAACATGGAAACTGGAGTTTTAATATACTTTAAAATTTTATCTTGGTGATTCAGTTCAAAATTCCAGCTTAGTTTTAATATATTCTACATTAATATATTAAGACATGGTTGGCATCTACCCCGAGCATTACAAGCCAGGATATAATAAGGATACCTGCGCATCCATGTTCACTGCCACACTATTCACAATAGCCAAGATATGGAAACAATTCAGATGCCCCACAATAGATGAGTGAATCCAAAAAATGTTGTACAATGGAATTTTACACAGCCATTAGAAAGAATAAAATAATGTCAATTTCAGGGAAATAGATGGGACTAGTACAAATCATGTTAAATGAGATAAGCCAAGATCAGCGAGACAATTAGTGAATGTTCTCCCTGAGATGAGGAAATTAGATCTAAAAACACTGGGATATGACAAAATACACAGAATTCTAGATACCCACATACAACGGGACCAAAAAAGGATAATTGTGGGAGAGAATCACAAAGGTGCAATACCCAAGTACCTCCTTAAAGGTATATAAAATAATATACATTCTGAAACAAACTTCAAAGATATGAAAACAAAGGACATTTTCCTTAAATTTGTTTTCTTTTTTGTCGACTTTATATTATTTTCCTTATATACAGTATATTCATTTCCACATCTGTGGAAGGGTGGAAGAAGGGCACAGAATCAGAGGAAAATGAGTGAAAAAAGTGAGGCAGTGGAATATACTGGCTGTACCAGACATTGATGAAAGTGAACTATGCAACTTGTGAGTGGAGATGGAAAGAGGGAATGGGAGAGAAAGAGGAAACAGATGATACTATGTAAAAGGAAATGTATGTATTACCTGATGTATGTAAAGGTAACCTCACTGTATAACACCTCTAAAACAACAATAAAGCCAGGTGCTGGTGGCTTACACCTGTAATCCTAGCTACTCAGATCTGAGGATCGAGGTTCAAAGCCAGCCAGGGCAGACAAGTCCGTGAAACTCTTATCTCCAATAAACCACCAGAAAACCAGAAGTGGTGCTGTAGCTCAAGTGGTAGAGTGCTAGTCTTGAACTGAAGAGCTGAGGGACAGCACCCAGGCCTAGAGTTCAAGCTCCGTGACCCACACACAAAAAAACCCAATAAAGTAAATTGGAGAAAAAAATATATTGGCACATGAATTTCTAAGCAACAACTTTCCCCAAATAGTTTAAAAGAAAATATTAGGCTATTCTTACTATTGAAAGCAAGAGTCCAGGAACTGAATTTCTCTAAGATAACACAAATATTTGCTCTATTTAAAACTCATAAACAGAATATAGGTAAATCATGTTTTAATATAGTTGAGGATTTTGCTCAAACTTATACCACACAAAGTTAAATGATTTTAAGAAAACCAATCTTTAGAACAATACAGTATATAACTCATTAAATTCTATCTGAAACTTAAAAAGATATTTAAGCTAAAAATTTATATTATATATAACAACTACGGAAAGTAGCCATGTTCATAAAACTGTCAATGTGATAATATATAACATTTATTTTATTGTAATTATAATTTGGGGATTTCCATGTTATCAATTTGTGAGTACAATGCATCTTAATATTACCCCTTCCAACATTCATATAATTTTAATTATGAGGATTTTATTTTCAGGCTATGGAAGGTTCCTGTCATTGTTGAACTTTTTTTTTTTTTTTTGGGTCAGTCATGGGGCTTGAACTCTGGGCCTGGGCCTTGAGCTTTTCAGCTCAAGTTGAGAGCTCTACCACTTCACCACAGTATCACTTCTGCTTTTCTGGTGATTAATTGGAGGTAAGAGTCTCTCACAGACTTTCCTTGTCTAGGCTGGCTTTGAACTGCAACCTTCAGATTCCCAGCCTCCTAAGTAGCTAGGATTATAGGCATGAGCCACCAGTGCCTGGCACTATAGAACTTTTAATTATTTTATCCATTTATTCAACTTGATAATTTTTTTTGTTTTTTTGTTTGTTTGTTTTGCCAGTCCTGGGGCTTCAATTCAGGGCCTAGGC